AACTATTTCACCGCTCACGTAAATAATTGTTTCACCGTTGCCAATACTTCAAATTTATTTCACGTTGCTTTTGTATTTATCTCACGCCGCTTCAATAACTATTTCACTGTTGCTTATTAATTATTTCACCGTCGCTTGTACCAATCTCACCGATACTTTTACGATTATTTCACGCTGCTGTAAAGAATTATTTCACCGTTGCTGAATAATTATTTCACCATTGTTATCATACCGATCGCACCGATACTTCTATTTATCTCACGCTACTTATCTGTTCTTTCGAATTCGCTTCGCACACGCTTCGCATGTACACACGAACATTGAAGCAGATTATTTGAAGCAAGTCATTTCAACATCTTACTTAATAAACGTTGTTTCTTTACTTTGTTATAAACAAACATTTGTTTTATTGACATACCCCCAACCGACCGAACCTGGATTCCGGCGAGCTACTCCGCGTACTCCAAAGCTTACACGGTTTTAATGGCTTTGCGCATGCGCGGCGATGGAAATGCAGTGCCGACACATGTCGTGTGCAGGACTTCATGCGGGACTTTTGACAGGAAGAGGTTAGGAAGATATAAATAAGGTAAGGCTTTTGTATTTATTAATTAAAAGCATGGAGTCTGATATATATAGAAAATAAAGCCAAAAAACAAAGAGTCCGAAAATTTCAATCATTTTGGCTAGATAAAAATATTTTTAAAGGATGGTTGACTCCCCCCACATCCTACACAAGAAAAAGCTTTGTGTATTGCATGTAATAAAGTCATCAGATGTTGTAAATCTAATTTAATTGAACATTCACAATCGGTCCAACATATAAAACAAATAAATTAAAAAAATTTAGACATTAATTTTTCAGACGCTACTAATAGTACAGTTACTCTTTCGCATAAAAATAAAGTGAAATGCGCCGAGATAAAATTAGCAGCATTTTTTGCAGAACACAATATTGCTTTTTATTCCGCAGATCACTTAATTCCATTATTGAAAGATATCTGTATGATCCCTGAAGTTGTATCAGATCTTTCACTGGCACGAGATAAATGTACAAAAGTATCCACACGGAACAAAAACCTCTAATAGATATCCACTAGATGTCCATTATGGAGATTCGAAACCTCTATTAGATGTCTATGTAATCTCCTATAGATGTCTACTAGACATCTACAGTTCCGCATTACATACCTCCATTCGACATCCATTAAATATATTCATAGATATCATATGGAGCAATCATAGATGTTCCATAGATATTTCATAGAGCTTTGATGGATTGTAGTTTCAATTCGTCATTAATAAAAATTATTTGGGAGTAAAGTCACAAATATGATTGCGAGATAGTCTTGTTTATGTAGGTGTTAACAGAATGTCACGACTGTGAGACAGTCGAGAACATGCCTATACAGCACAAAATATCTTACATATCCTTAGGACATCTTGGGGAGATTTCGATATCCTCAGAACATCCTTGGGACACCGAAATATCAGTTTTGTGCTGTATGGGTAGTGACATTCTGTTAACATCTACATAAACAAGACTATCTCGCAATCACATTTGTGACTTTATTGTGACATTATTGTGACAATTGTTGGAATAAATTGTTTGACGGAAATATAGTTCAGCCAATACGAGTGCCATATGGTATTAGATTTGATAACAGATATGACAATAAAGCTCAATGTTACAAGCAAATTCCTATTACTAGTACTTTTACGTATATTCCTTTATTAGAAACACTCAAAGTTTTATTAAATAATAAAGCTATCAAAAAATATTTTACTAGTGATATAAAAATAAATAATAATGTATATACACATTTTGTTGACGGAGATGTTTACAAAAATAATTCTTTTTTCCAAAATAATAGCAATTCAACTCCAGTTATTCTTTGACGAATTTGTAGTCTGTAACCCTTTGGGAAGTAAAACAAGTGTTCATAAAATTGGAGCATTTTATTTTGCTATTAATAATCTTCCTTTTTATATTAATTCGACTTTGGAAAATATTCATTTATTAGCTTTATGCTATAATCTTGATATTAAACAATTTGGATTAAATCCTGTATTACGTAAAATCGTAAATGATATTAAAATTTTAGAAAAAGAAGGAGTATTTATCGAATCTTTAAATACTTCTATGAAAGGCACATTAGTATCGTTAGCTTTTGATAATTTGGGTGGAAATATGTTACTTGGCATGAATGAGTCATTTAATGCTAACTACTATTGTAGGATTTGCACAATTCATAAAGAAGATGCTCAAAAAAACTTGTACTGCTGATTATAATTTAGTACGTCTGAAAGTTTATTAACCTTTTCAATCAACTTCATTATGCAAATAGTGATACAATAAATTTTTTGGGATTAAAAATAAAAGTCCTTTATTTGATTTAGCTTATTTTAAACCTTGCGAAAATATAACCGTTGATATAATGCATGATTTTCTAGAAGGCATTTGCCAAAGAGATTTAAACTTATTTTTCAATTTCTGCGATAAATATAAAATTATTAGTTTACATGATTTAAATGACAAAATACAAGCCTTTGACTATGGTTTACATAATAGAGGTAATTTACCTAGTGTTATAAGTTTAAAAAAATCTAATACAATAGGACAACGTGCAGCACAAACACTTTGTTTAATTATTCATTTACCTATAACTTTACGAAATATAATTCCAAAACTTGATCAAAATTTTAATAAATGGAAAGTAATTTTATTAGTAATAAAAATGTTAAAAATTGTATTAGCGCCTAATATTACAAATAATGTGTTAGATGAATTCAAATAACTATAAAAAAGCATCATGAACTTTTAATGAAAGAATTTTCTGTTTCTTTAATACCTAAAGATCATATAATTATTCATTATGTAATGATTATTAAGAAAATGGGACTCCAAAAACTTTTTGGACAATGAGATATGAAAGTAAGCATGGTTATTTGAAAGACTTAGCTAATAAATTGAAAATTTTAAAGATATAGCGTATACATTGTCCGTGCGTCATCAAAAATGCTGTCTCTTTGGAAAAATAAAGATTTTTCATCTTTTGAACCAATACTAAAAAATTTTAAAAGGCAAAATTTAAGTTCTACTAATTAGTACAATGTTATTATTATGAATGGTTTACATATTTCTACTGAAATAGATATTTATGTAGGAAAAAGTGTACAGTTTCGAGGTACTAATTTAAAATTAAATAAATTTATATGTTCATCTTTTTCTAACGATTTGCCCAATTTCAGTAAAATTTTATTCATTTTTTCTGTGAATGCTGAAATAATAATTTATAATCGCCCACGCTTTCGCAGTGCGAAATATCCGATCTGACAAACACTCAACCGGTGTCGACTTTTATGACTGGCACTATTTATGTTTATGCGAAAAATTCTTTTAGCGGAGCTGATGATTTGCTTGGTCTTAGCGTTTAGCGCTGCAGGAAGTTTAACTTGTGATCATTTAACATTCAATTTATGACGTCAGTTCTGTCAACAGTTTGAATTTAGTTTAAATTTAAATATCGCTCTTGTGAGTTAAATGAATTTTTTATTTGTTTATCGGAAGCAGCGTAAAAAAGAAGCTTCGTTAGGCTATGTCGACATTATTCAAACAGTTTAAAATTTATTACTTCCCGTGTTTGCCAGATACGGTTTCGTTTTTAATGAAATATAAACTCGCGAAGAAGAAAAGAATCGTGGAGTCCTATCAGGACGTAACAAAACTATTAAAATATATAGTGAGTGGCGTTATCGCATTCGTGGATTTTTTCTTTACACATTGTGTCGTACAGAATAAAAGTATCTCTACTTTATTGAGCTATTTATTTTCCCTTTTTGCAAACATATTAATTATTATTTGTTACTTTAATTGTTTATTATGTTTTTACTAATGCTAATTGCCGAAATTCGATTTAGATATTATAATTTGACGTAGTTTATTGACTCCATCAAACAAGGTATAGATGATACACAAAACAAATGTTAACACGACAGATTGTGCGATCGAAAATTCGGTACCAAACAAATTGACCAACTTTTCTATACTGATTTACGCGCATTTTATAATTTTCTTTTTCTCTGATACTTGTTTACACATGTTGATAATCCCTCAAAAATTCTTAAGAATAACTTTCAGGCAGACAGTAATGTTGTCGGCAGTAATAATCCTGGCCATCTTTCTTATGACACCACGTTCCATCTGGAAAGTACGGATTAATATTAAGGTTGAGCATTTCCAAGCGTAGTGCGTCGATAGTAGACGAATCTTTTTGTTGGCAGTGTACAGTACAGGCTATCCACGGTTTCTCAAAATCATGAGCGGCTTGCCATCCTAGCTCGAACTTAGGTGCTAGTTTAAGCGTCAAATTCTTAAACGATATGGTGGAAAAGTTACTGAAAAATTTCATGCATTTTATTTTGATAAATGAGTCGATCGTCTTGCGTTTCTTAATGCAAGGTAAAGTATCATCGCACAGAACTACGTCGTAATATGGCCCTTGACAACTCGTCGTTCTGCGATTCCTATGTCTACAAGAACGTCGTTTGAGTTTTACACCTTTAGATTTCTCCAAGCAGATACTTTGACAGGTGCTTTCTTTCCATTCACTCCAGTTATCATCTTCACAATTCTCAAAAATGTACGGTGGTTTGATAACGGGTACGCATTCTCCGCCACGACATTCCTTTCCGGGTGCACAATAAGTTCCTTAAAAAATGAGATTAATTAAGCTATAAACTGTTCCAGCGATCAGCAACGGGAAATGTACCTTCCAATGCCGGTCCCGTGAAGGCATATAAATTATCATGAGGCATTTCGCATTCTAAGGTTTTGCATATATCAAACAACGAGACTACGTTTGCATCCTTGTCGCGAAAATATATTTCGCATTGTGCTTTGGCGGTCCATTTTCTTCCGGGTAAATCGTGATAACGTGAGTGGTCGAGTGATGTGTCACCTAGACGTTTCGGTTTCGTCTGATCTCGAAGACAATCCTTTTCGTACCAAAGTTTTTTAGCTATACCACGGCTACATTCGGACCATGTGATTTGACCTTGAGAGTACTGGTCAGATGACATTATGTATTTGTATGCATCACACGGAATTTCATAATCGGAATCGTGTCTCATTCCCAAACTTTTAATCAAGTAAATTATTAATTTTGACAATGTGTTTTACTTTGCATTGATTATTTTAAATATTTTAATATTAAATTTAATTAATAATTATCATACTGAACAGTTAAAGAAAAAAATCTCTTTAAAAAGTTTCTTTGCTTTTTGATTGTAACTTAAACAATTCAAATAATTTTTATAAAACATATTATCATATTTAAACTTGTATGTTAAACAAATTTGTTAAACTTTATATATAAACTTACACATGACCGATCTCATGAGCAGCAGTGAGAGACGATGAAAAACCCGAGGTTATGTTATCCGCAATACCGAATTCTACTACTGCACACGATCTAGTTAAGTTGCACGCGCCATCGGTGCGGGATATTCCTGCGGTACTTAATTGCTGGGTACCTCCTTTCATCCAATAAATATTTAATCCTGTTAGGTAAAGACCAACGTCCCAGTGACGCGAATCATCGTCGTCCGGAAAATTTCGAGTTGCCGCGTAATTGCAGAACGACAAGAGCAGTTTCGTATCGTCGCCGCCAAAAACTGGCAAACTTAACGGTTGTTCTTTCATAATTTCCAAATGTACTAATGAAATATCGATAGAAACACCCAAACTCGGATGATGAAACACAGCTTGAATACGATTCACGTACGCTAATATCAACATGCGCAATATTTTCTCATCTTCACCCAAAAAAGACACGAACGTACGATATGCGGCTTCGTCTAAAAAAACAGCCAATTCCATAGTTAATTTTTTTTGCGTATCTTGTATATGACGTCGCTTCATTTCAAAATTATCCAAATTATGAAAACTTGAATCAGCAGATGATTGCGATGATCTTTTAATAAGATGAGGTTTACCAAATGAAATATTAATTTCTTCTTTAACGCAAAGATCATCGATTAAGGATAAAGACGCAAAATTATCTCGCAAAGGTCTAATTGCCAATGTGTCGTCTTCCAAAAAAACAAATCCTTCCTACTTTAAAAAATATACATTAAGGTTCTTGCAGTTCATGCTTATATGTAAAATAAAAGAAATTGAATATAAAAGTAAAAACTGTTTGTTTTTTACATGACACCACTGACCCATCCATGTTTATGAAAGTTTATGGCCGCTGTGCTAATATGATCTTTGTGAAGATAATAGCAAGGATCCAATGCATATGATTGCGACAGATCTTCTGTAATGCCTTTTGCGTCATGTGTCCATACTTTAAACGTAGATACGATCTGGTTGTTTCTACGCAGGTTTAATTGAATCCGTTTTCCAAAAACTTTCAGAGTCAATGGTATCTGTAAATTATATAAGAATTTGAAAAATTTGATAATTCTCGAATGATATTTTGATAATTAAACAATGAACGAAGCAGTACAGTAAAACTCACGTACTTCTTCTACGTCTGTTGTATTCAATGCCGGCAGCAATATTCTTTCGATATCTTGTGTAATATTCGCGTACGTTTCATTTAATAACAATATTAACATCAAGTTTAATATGAAAAACATGTTTTTTCTTGCGTTTTTCAATTTTATTAATTGAAAATGTATTATTTACGTTTTTTTTATATATCAAATTACTTATGATATACATACGTTATAATACTCACAGGTTTATCGTATCTTCTGATCGCGTATGAAACACATACTGGCATTTAGTTTTAGGTATATTATTTTTGTCAGTGACACTTATTGTATATATACCTTCTATGTCACATATTGAGGTGTCTCAATAAAATGTACACATTTGACAAGTCAACATCTGTCCATTTTGTTAAAATATTGTAATGAAACACTATACACTTTATTGAGACATCCTGTATATACGCGTTTTTCTTTTCGGTTTTGAATTGTATATTTCATTGTATATAATATTTGCTACAATGGAATTTTAGAAAATCCGAATTATGATCAATATGTGGGATAACACTATTCACAAACATTACTTACAAACAAAAAAATTTAATCAATGGCAATTTTAGACTGACTAAAACATAACGTTTTTAAGGCAATTTAGCGTTATAAATATCAAATTTAATATAAAAGGAAAATACAATTACTTACCGATTTACTGACAACAGAAAATATGTATATTGTATCTTATTCTGACGTGCCATATTCGGTTACCGAGCTCATGTGTTCAATAAATAAATAACAATTTGTATTAAATAATTTTAAAAATTATTTTATTTCGCAATAAAATTTAGTTTACGTTTTTGTTTATTAATCGTTTTTGTGTAGGTATTAATGAAAACATTGGTGGACTATTAAAATACATTAGTGAGTAATGTTATCGTATTAGTACATTTCCTCTCGACACATTGGTCGTATTTCTCATATTGATTGTTAACAGTTCACCCGATCTGACATCATTAGATTTTTTTCTGTGGAGTCATCTGAAGCAAATTGTATGAACAAGAGCCCGCTTCACCCGAAGAAATTATTGCAAAAATGCAAATAGCTGTCCAAACTGTCGATGGACCAATGCTTCAACGCGTTAGAGCAGGCCTCGGAATTATTTCATCTTTTCAGCCGATTCTCGTGGTATACACCTCCTTTCCTCTCTTCACCGCCGCTCCTAACGCTCGGCGGCGCTGGCCCTAGCGGCTGCCGCGCGCGCGGTGAAGAGAGGAAAGGAGGCGTATACCACGAGAATCGGCTGAAAAAATGAAATAATTCCGAGGCCTGCGTTAGAGCAAACTTAATTCTTCGTGCGGAAGCGTGCATTGAGGCTTGCAAGGCTCATTTTGGAAATTTACTTTAACAAGTCCTTTTTAAAACTAAAAAAATCCTTTTAAGGGTTAGCAATTTTTTGCAAAACAGTCTTTTTCAGGATTACTAATTTTTTAAAACGTCAGGAAACTTCTCATTCATAAAAATTAGTAAAATATTCCTTTCCTACGTTTCTCTAATTTGTAAAATATTAAATAAAAAATTCTCCTAAATATTATGAAAAGAGGATAAGTCTTTCATGTAAAGAAAAAATCTTTCTCTATTTTTTAACATGCTTTATGTATTTTCTTTTAAGCAACAAAAAGTTGTTTAAATGTCTAATTGTTATAATAAAATCCTCTTAAGAAACTTATTACTTTTGAGTAATTGGACAAAACCACTCGTAGGTGATTTGTTTTAAGATTTAAGTGTTAACGCAAAGATTTTTCTAAGGAAACAGATTGTTTAAAAAATAATTTTTGTAAATCACAGAGGAGGCCTCCTTTATTTTTTTGTATTTGTCAAAATCTTCTTCTCTATGTTGAGAATGATTACGTCTTGGCGACAATTGTCCGTTGTCGAAATTATCTGTAATGTGTTTCAAAAGTGTTGTAAGAAAATACCATTCTTTTTTTTTAACCGCGCGCCATGTTGGACTTAATAAGATGTTCTTTTGTATCTGCGAAATGTTATTAATAAATCTTCCTCTTCCAGATTGTCTTTTGTCGAGTAAAGACGTGTCTCGCTTCTTACCCTAACTGCGCTCAACAGGTTATGGGCTCAGTGTAATATATAAGAATAGAAAAAGTACATGTGCCGCGTGGCTCTGGATGAACAGCAATAATAAATCTAATTCGTGTGTGTCACAAAAGGGTATCGTGTTTGAATCACCGCGTCTTTCTTTTTCTTAACTATCTCGTACAGCATTGTAAAATTTTTCAAGATGGCTTCAAATGAATCGTGGTCGTTAATAAATAAACTAAGAGGAGCTGAAAATTATCACACTTGGTCTATGGCCATGCGGGCAATGTTTGATCTAAATGGTCTTGAGGGATGCATCATTACTGGTGAAGGCAAAGTCGTGGATGCGGAGAAGCAAAAAAGGGCCAAAGGAAGGATCTTGCTTAGCATCGATCAATCACTGTATGTACATGTTGAGAATGCCGAAAATACAGCACAAATGTGAGTAACACTTGAGAATTTGTTTCGAAATACTGGAGTTACACATAAAAACGGATTAAGACAAAAATTGATTAACGTTTGTTTAGAGAACTGTGAATCAATGTCCGATTATGTAAGTCAAATTGCAAATGCTGCGAATAAACTAAACAATATAGACCTCAACATCGATGACGAATTAGTTGGTGCAATTATGCTGGCGGGTCTTACAGACGAATTTAAACCGTTGGCGATGGATTTTGAAGATAGTGGAATAAAAACTACGTCTGACGCTGTGCAAACAAAATTCATGGACAATGCATACCAAAGGGAAACCCATGGAGCATTTTTTGGTAAAAACGGATTCAATGGTAAGAAACCAAAGGGCATCGATAGCAAGCCAAAATGCTATAAATGTGGCAAAAGAGGTCACAAGGCGAACCAATGTGGTAAAGAATTCAGGATTGATAAAACCGAAAAGATGACCAGCGCTGATGGCAAACCAGACAAAAGACAAAATAAGGACAAAAAGGAAAGTAATAACGCATTTAGTGCAGTGTTCTTGTCTAAAATAATGCAAAATCAGAACAATTGATATATCGCTAGTGCAACGCCTCAACATATGACACCTAATGCAAATTGGCTAAATGAAGTGAGACCAACATTGGTAACGAAAATCTTGGCAGCTAATAACCAAAGAATGGTTGTGACCGGCTCTGGAAAACTCACCTTAAGGATAAAAAATGAGAACGTAGACGTGAATGATGTTCTGCATGTACCGGAGCTATCAACAAATTTACTCTCTGTCGACCAAATAGTAAAGAATGGAAACATGATAATATTCAATGCTAATGGATGCTCAATCATAGGCAAGAATAGAAAGTGCATCGTGAAAGTAAAATCATTGGGTGGAGTTTATAGAATTTCAAGCGACTGCGCAGTCTGTATGCTTTCAACCAATAATAATGCGATGACATGGCATAGACGGCTAGCATATGTAAACTATGGGGATTATGTAAGATGCGAGACGGCGCGGTGGATGGCGTAAAATTTATCGATGGTGCTGAAGAGGTAAAACAATGCGAAGTTTGCATGCAAGGCAAATAAGCTCGACTTCTATTTAAAGCATCCCGAAAACGAGCAAAGCAGATATTGGACTTGATCCATTCAGACCTATGTGGACCAATGGAAACTGCTTCGATAGAAGGAGTCAGGTATTTTTTAACATTTGTCGATGATTTCTCACAAAATGTTTTTGTTTATTTTTTAAGTCTGAGGTACTCAAGCGATTCAAGGAATTAAAAAAAAAACTAATTGAAACACAAACCGACTGCAAGGTGAAATCAATTAGAATGGACAATGGAACGGAATACTGTAACAAGGACTTTGACACATTTTGCAGTAGTGAGAGAACTCAACACCAAACTTCAAATACATACACTCTTCAACAAAATGGCGTTGCGGAATAGATGAATCGCACGATTGTGGAGCGAGCCAAATGCATGCTTTTTGACGCTAAACTCGATAAAATTTTTTGGGCTGAAGCAGTCAACATGGCGACGTATGTGGTAAACAGATGTGTTAATTCGACTCTGGATGGCAAAACACCGGAAGAAATGTGGACAGAAATTAAGACTGACGTAAGTAATTTGAAAATTTTTGGTTTACAAGTAATGGTTCATGTTCCAAAACAGAAGCGTTCCAAATAGGATCCAAAATTGACAAAACAGATATTTGTTGGCTATGATCAAGGTACCAAAGGTTATCGATGTATTGATCCATTCACGAAGAAACTTACCTTAAGTAGGGATGTTAAATTCTTGGAAAACCAACAAAAATTATCAACGGTTATGAATATAGATGAAGATTTTAATTCAGAGAAGGATGAATCATCAATAAAAGGGGATGTTCAACCATCGAAAGATCTATACAGTGATACGGAAGACGATTCTTTCAGATCAGTCTCTGAGGAAATTAATACAAGTGACGAAGATTATGAGTTCGAAGAAACGCCGACGCTATCAAATCAACTAAGAAGATCGTCTCGTACACCAAAACCAAGAAACTTTGAAGGGTTTGTTACCTAACTATGGGTAATAAAAACGATGATCCGTTAACACTCAAGGATGCAATGGACAGATATGATAGTAAAAATGGAGAACGGCGATTGATGAAGAGCTGAAGTCAC